AAAAAAAAAAAAAAAAAAATTAGCCAGGTGTCATAGTGTACACCTGTAATTCCAGCTACTTGGAAGACTAAGACAGAAGGATAGCCAGAGCCCATCAGGTCGAGGCTGCACTGGCTGTGAGCAGCGTGCCACTGTACTCCAGCCTGGGTGATAGAGCGAGACTCCAACTCAAAAAACAAACAAAAAAACGTATGTTCATATTCTTACGATTTATTTTACAGAAATGGCTTGTTGTCAGGACTGGCAGGTCTGAAGTCCATAGGGCAGGCCAGCAGGCTACAAAGTCACAGAGGATTTCTGTGTCACAGTCCTGGGTATGATTACTTCTTCTCCAGGAAACGTTATGTCCTTAAGATTTTCACCTGTCTTAACAAGGCCCGCCTGCATAGTTCAGACTAAGCCCCTTTACCGAGTCAGCTGGTTCAGCTGCAGCTGCCTTCACGGCTGCATCTAGACTAGGGTCTGACCAGGCCACTGGGCCCTGGGGAGTAGCCAACCAGACACATTTAGCCATTACAGCCAGCAAGTTAAAATTTACACCCAGGTTCATGTGGCTTCAAAGATTTGGGTTTTAAGTCCCTATGCTGACAAAGGGAATACTTGGGCTGTCATTCTGAGGGACGCGTAGGAGTTCACCAGGTAGTCAAGAGGGACAGGATGCACCAGGCAGAGGGGACGACACGGGCAAAGACCCAGAGGGGAGAAAAAGCGCGTGAAGGAGTGTCGAGTCTAGGAGCAGCTGGCCTTGTCAGCCATGTCTTAGAGACACGGCTCTCCCTGCCCACGGTGACAGGCCACCTTCGCACGCGGGAGGGATCCCTCCGGCTGCTGGGTGGAGTGTGGATTGGCGGGGGTGAGGGTAGTGGGGAGCTCGGGAGGGAGGGGCCGAGTGGTGAGGGGTGACAGGGCCTGAGCAGGCACTCTGCACGGGGAGGGCGTGGTGTCGTGGAGTTCGGGCGTGTGCCTCACAGGGCCTCCTGCGACGTGCTGGGGCTTTGCTGACCATGGCCCCTGGCACCTCCTCCTCGGCCTCCCTGTGTCCTTCACCCACACCGGGGGTGCCACACAGCCCTGCCCTCAGGGAGCTTCTGCTTCGGGCGGATCTGAGGCTCATCGCAGAGCAGGGAAGTCAGCCCGGGAGAAGGTGACCAAACAAGACGGGGTGGCGTGGGCTGCAGTTTGGAGGCATGTGCAGGGGTGAGTCCTGGGAAGGAGACGCTGGAGCAAAGTCTAGGGAAAGAGTTGTCCCAGGCATGGCTGGGCCAGAGGAAGGAACTTCGAGGTGGGAACATGATGGTGGAGGCAGAGGCCTCTTGGGGAGCCAGGAGAGGGTGTTTTTATTCATGTTTGTACTTGACATGCACTTTTATTTATTTTTATTTGCTTATTTTGAATTGGGGTCTCTGTTGCTCAGGCTGGAGTACAGGGGCACGCTCACAGCTCACGGCAGCCTTGACCTCCTGAACTCAGGCAATCCTTTGGCCTCAGCCTCCTGAGCAGCTGGGACTATAGGCACATGCCACCACATCCAGCGAATTTTTTGATTTTTGTAGAGATGAGGTCTCACTATGTTGGCTGGACAGGTCTCAAATTCCTGGGCTCAAGCAATCCTCTCACCTCAGCCTCCCAAAGTGCTGGGATTATAGGCGTGAGCCACTGCACCTGGCCACCTTTTATTTATTTATTTATTTATTTTTGAGTTGGAGTCTCACTCTGTCGCCCAGACTGG